CAGGGTAGATCTACTCATAATCACTGCACAAAATAAATAAATGAAGAGGTTCTTGGCTCTATAAAACTGCACCTAGAGGTGATCAAATGCTTTGTGAGAAGGCCCAGCATTTTACACAAGGCGCTGCACTTGAGAGTGGCCCGGACCACTTGCTTCCTCCACGTAGGCACAAAGCTCACTGCCAGCCCTTCACAGGACCCAGAACTGTTCTGTGTAATAAATCTCGATTTAGTGAATTCCAGTGAACGCAATCATAGACTTATACTTACTTCCTTTTTTTAATCCACTATGTTATTTCATCATGTCACAACTCACTGATTTAAAATTTTCTATAAGAATTTTTTTATTAAATAAATTGCTGGGCAAGGGATATGACTCAGTGGCACAGTGCCTGCCTGGCAAACACAAGGTCCTGAGTTCATTCCCGGTACATACATACATATATACATACAAAGCTAATTTAAGATTTCTAAAACCAGTTTAGAATTTAAAAAGGAAACTCCAAATCATGATTCCAAGAAACAAACTAATGAACCCTAAACTTAACTGTGAAAAGGAAATTTTTCCTGACTTTGTTTTACCTTTGTGAATGTTTAAGAAAATGAAATAAAGCTCTTCCTTAAGCACTAAAGATCCCTCTGTTCCTATTTTAAAGATATTTCCACAGTCTATTCTGTCCAAATTGAAAATATAAACTTTAATTACAATTTGCCTTTATAAAAAAGCAAACAAAAGCAAGAGGGCAGGCAAGTACAGCCAGTGCGGGGCCCTCACTTCATCCTGTCCTGGAGCGAGACTTAAGCTACTCTGTTACTGGGGAGGAGCAAGAGCTCCCAAGGCAGGAAGCTGTATACACAAGGTATAGTTCACTTGGATTCCAAAGGTCTGTCTTGACCACATCCACTGCACATGGCCATCACAAACCAGGCTCCTAGGAGCCACTCAGCAGTCACATTCTCTTCACTGAAAATGCTACACAAAGCTCTTCAACAAATGGGTGGCAGGGTCCTGCCTCAGGTCTCGAAGCCCTGTGCCCACCGTATGCCACAGCAGCCTCCCCCTCCTTCACTCCAGCCCTCTGCGTCAGGTGTGGAGCAGATGCCCTTTCGAATGAGCCTGCTATGGGTCTGAAGAGTCTTCTGTGCTACGACCTACCTATGTACACTGAAGCTGCTGAAGATCTGCACCAGACCTGAGGGCTGCTCTGTTCTGTTCCCTATTAATGACTCATGCTTGTCACACAACAGGTCAGCGCACATCTGTGGACTGCATGAGTGGGACAGTAACACTCACAACCAAGACAAGAGGAAATCTGTAAACAGTTAAGCAGTTGGTGGTCACTGAATGCATACTCTTAAGCAAATCCCGGCATGTCTACTTGCTGCAGCTCTATCACCAGAGGGACAGTGAGTGACTAGGAAGCAGAGCACAGTGGCAGCATTCTCCTGAGACCAACTGGTATCTGAAGTATACAGCAGAAGTACATGACCCTCCTTAGGAGAGAGGAGAGGAGAAGCAGAGAGGAGGAAAGGGAGGAGAGAGGAGGAGGGGAGGGGAGGGGAAGGAGTGGGGAACGGGGGGAAGAAAACAGGAGATGTGGAAGACGGGCCATCACTTAAGAACTAGCACTGCAGTGGAACTGGAAGGAGCACAGGAAACGAAAGCTAGGCCAAGAATGAGCAAACAGGTACACCCACGTGGCAGGGCAGCCTGAACCCACACCGATGGAGGGCTGCCGAAGGACAGGGACCAAAAGAGGAGGGCCTGGTCACATGCAAGTGGCTCCCCAGTCCTGAAAGGCTAGGTCTAAGGCTGCTCTGCTGCCCCAAAGCCCCTCCTCTTGATGCCATGTCTGCCTCTAACACTGTCTGTTGTCTCTCTGTCTCTCTCTCTGTCTCTCTCTCTCTCTCTCTCTCTCTCTCTCTCTCTCTCTCTCTCTCTCTTTTTGCGACCAAACTGAATTCTGTACATTCTCATGCCTTGGCTACAGATGTCAGGGCTTGCACAGTCCTCTAACAGCAGCCAGGCCTATTCAGATCTGGATCCGTGGCTGCCTGCTGCCTTCTTGCCCCTTCTCTCTGGTCTGGTGGAACAGTCAGCAAGGTGATTATTTAAAAACTAGAGGTAGGAAAAGTGGGTGCAGCTCTTGGCAACATCAGCAAACTCATACACAATCAGATTTGATCTGAAGCATTTTCTCAGTCAGGGGGACAGAGGCACCCTTGGACTCTCAGGCACCAGCAGCAAGACATGATGAGCAAGGACTGCACCTCAGCTAGAAGGGCAGCTAAGCTGGAGACAAACCACGGCACAGATGCTTCTTCAACCCTTCACTTGCCCTAGAACAGTGCAGCAGAAATATTTACTTCCTAAAAGGGAAGTTCTCCCACTCTCGCTGACCCTGAGAACTTGTGTGGACAGCTATGAACGAGTTTACCCTGGTGATGTGAACTGGAGGTGACATTCTAGATATGGAATGGGCAGAACCAAGGACAGGAGGGAGAGCAGCCAGCTGCAGCGAGAGACTCACGTGAGAATAGGCCACAGGCTCTGCTGCTTCACACTGGGAAATGCTCGGGGAGGGGAAGGAAGAGGCGAGGCCATCTCGGTGGACAGGCATGCGCAAATACATGACTCCACTAAGTCTCTCAACTTTTAGAACTCAGGTGTTTGCAGTTCTGCCTCTTAAATGTTTCGGAGCCAGAGATCTTTGGTCATATGATCCAGTTTTTGCATTTCAAACCACAGTTAACTGTAGCAGTAGTTATCATATGAAAACATAAAGGGGAGACAGGAATGTATTTCTCTTTTTAAAAAAATTTTTACACAGAAGTTTCTTTTCTTTTATTGAGAAACAAATATCAATGAGACAGTTTCAAAGCTGTTATTTCTCATATTTATTCTGCAACAAGAAGACAGGAAAACATTTCTCAGCACGTGAGTAGGGAGACCACAGGAAATGGGAGCAAGAGAAATGGTGCCAAATAGCCAAAGACAGTGAATGGTGAGGTGCGACACAGCTTGGACCAACAAAATGGGAAGGTTGCAAATGTCAGTTTTACTTTACACACCAAGACATGTAAAGAAGGCACCTTTGCGTTGTGAGACTGGATCTGCCTTGTTGCTCAGGTTAGCCTTGAACTCATGACCCTCCCAGCCCAGTTTCTCAAGGGCCTGTGCCACAGCGCCCAGTTTAAGAAGGTAATTTTTAAAGGCACCTTCACAGAATAGGACACAGATGCAGTTTCTGTTATCATACAATTCCGCCCCATATTCTAGTTGTCAAACTAGTAATGGACCCCTTCATCTTATAAGGTATACTAATGCACATCACCCTCTTTAGCCTTGTTTGATTTTAAAACTACATTTTTAAATGTATATTAATGCTTTTCCTTTAATAATTGAAGGCCTTCTTCATTTCTAAGAACATTTGCATACTTTTAGGTCTATTTTGTATTATAATATTCCAACCACAATTTTCTTACAGTTAATTTTTTCCTAGTAGATCTTTTCCTAATACTGCTTGTATTTTCAAATTCCCTGGGATATTTATGTTTTAGGTAAACCCTGAAAATAACATAAAAAAAGATGTCCACTCTGAGAATGTTTGTCTTTTAACAAGTAGACTCCATTTTCCATTTATTGTAATTACTGATACTTTGGACAAATTACTACATCTTATTTTATGACTTCTATCTTGATTTTTGTTGTGCTGTTTTATTTTGTTGTTGTTTTGCTTTTTTGTTTTTGTTTGTTTCTTTTGCCCCCTGGTTTTTACTTACCTGGTTTTTAGCATCTCTTTTCCCTTAAAACTTATCCTATACTTCGAGTGGTCAGTTTAAAAGGCTCCAGGCAGGCCTGAGCTAACGGACTGCAGAAGAGCCCAGTGCCTTTGTGAGCTCCCTCCACTCATCAGAGGACAGGCCAGCTTCAGGCCCCTGCTGCTGTGACCCGGTTTCAGGTCCATCTTGTGCTTCTAAGGTCATGCTTTTAATCTCCAAACGTAGTCATCACTCTCTCTACTCACCTTTGGTACCGGCCCTTTTTTTGTTCACTTACTTAAATTTATTTTAAAAATATAGTGTTTCTGAGTCCTTAAATATGCCAGGCATTGTTCTAGATGCTAGTGATAAAGTCTTCTCTTTGAGTTTAAATTACACTTAATATTTACTTTCCCTTCCGAAGTAAATTCTTCTGTTTTTCTGACAGCGTCTGAGTGGTATCGGCATGGAGATTTTCCTCCCTGCTGAATCACAGTTCTGCTGGTGCAGAATTCCAGGGTCAGAGTGGGCTTCCCTCAGGATTCCATTCCACTGTTGTTCAGAATCTATGTCTCATATTTCCACATGTGTCATCCTGTCACTCCTCTCATTTCAAGACTTTGTAATCTCTTTCAGTTTTAATGATATTTGTCTGAGTTCGGATTTCTCTCATTTGGACAACATTTTTAGAATAACTTTTCTCAACTTCCTTTTAATTTACATGTGAATGGGCACAGGTGTGATGTTTCACACCAGAAAAGTCAACTACCAAGAGGGTGAGGGACTTGCCACACGGGGCCTCACAGCCCCGCTGGAACCCCACAGAGCCGCTTCTCTGAACACCGCACTCGCAGCTCCTGTTTCCCAAGCGCACACAGACAGACCTGACGAGACTGACGCTGCGCCCATGGCTGCGCCCATGACTACGGAAATGCGAGAACTATTACGCTCTGACTAGGAACTGAAATGTGAGGAACTACTGAGACGCCGGTGCAACACATAGGACAAAAAATCCAATACAAACTTGTTTCAAGAATACCACATTTTACAGAGGGTCAACTGACTAAGTAAGGCTTGTGCCAAGGCAGTGATAACTGCACTCTGAAATCAGTTCAATTTCACTGAATCACCTCAAACACACTGAACAAAGGTTGAGTCATCGCAGATGTAGTTAAAACTGTAATTCAAAACCTGCCACACAGGTATTTGGGGGAGAAAATGGTGAAAGTCATTATTTACCTGTGCTACTTCTTCAAAATCTTCATGGCGTTTCTGCAAAGCTCTGGCACGATGAAGAGATTTTCCCACACCTGTGTGTTTGCTTAAAAATGCTTCTCCATGGTTCTCAATCCAATCCAGCACCTACAGTGAAATTACAGCCACATGAGCATAAAAACAATATTCTGATTGTTCCGTGTTTAGGTTAATCCAAAGAAGACACATTCTGTTGTCAAAATTCTGTAAGAAATAAGCAAACTAGGAAAAAAACTGGAAGTACTTGGGTACTAATTTAACGCGCTCAGTAATTATACATCAGCTTTCCCACCAGGACTTTAACCAGCTCTTACATTAAAAGTATAAATCTGTCTATATATAAACATAACATGCAACAATGATTAAATTAAGTCTCACCTCCATGTATGCATGCCTGAACCACCACACTGACCTGAATTTTGTATGAGAGAGCAGTCAGGCCACAGGAGGCCAGTTTGACTTAACATTTTTTTAAAAGGCTCAAAACTTCACAATTCAAGCAATTCAAGTTTAACTGCAGAGTTAATTTTTTTTTCTCTCCTTCAGAAGAATCCAAGCACATTAAGTAAAACCTAAGAAAACAAAACACTTACAATGTCTCACTCCCAGTCTTTGAAGATAATTTATTCTACAAACTAAAATGTTGCAAAAGCTAAGCATTGGTGAATTTAGTTACTTAAAGTTGTTGCTGGTTGAAATCTACATGCAAGAAAAAAGCACAGTAAAATTTTAAAGTCCATAGCTTGGAATGAGTCGTTCACTGGCTCTCACACTTCAGCAATCAAAGAACAATAACCATATCTAACAAAATATTTACACTATATCAAATGTACACTTTGTCTCTATCATGAAGGGGGCACGAAAACCAAGTCAATGATGTCTTTAACCAAAAATGTTTGGCTGAATTTTAAAGGTTTAAAATATATGCATTAATGTGCTGTGAAAGTACTGAAGGCTTACGTATATTTCTCACGTTTCTAACTACGGTACTGCCTCTAGTGCACCCAGCCTAAAAATTCCATAGAGTAGAAAATCTGTAAGCAACAGAAATTTCCTGTTCATAACGCTGGAGGCTACGTGCGGGTGAAGGCACCAACAGACCCAGGCTCCGGCGGGGGCCCGTGTGCCTAGGCGGCAGGTACCTCTGTGTCCTCATGTGGCAAAGGTTCCCGCAGCCAGGCCTCTTAGGATGGGAAGTGCCAATCCCACTCATGGGTGGAATCCTTGCAACCTCATCACCTATTACTATACCACAGAGCAGATTAGGGTGCCACAAATAATGTCAGAGGCCACAAACAGACCACAGCAGGTCCCTTAAGTACACAAATTAAAATGATGTTGGACAGAAGACCAAATAGGGGAATACTTGCTAAGCCAGTGGTTTGGGTACAACCTAAAAACACAACAGCTTCAGTGTCTGCCAATGGTAAATAAAACAGGCTTAACTTGTGGTTCACTGCTACTAAAAAGCAGCCCTTATCCTTTTATTAACTGAACTACTGAGACATTAGCTTTGCTCACAGAATCTAGAAAAAAGAGGCCCCTGGTAAAGATGAGAGCCCATCTTGTTCTCCACTGATCTACTCAGTGCCCTTTAAACTCAAGACCTGACTGAGGGCCCTTTCTGTGCAGGGTTTAGGAAAGCTCACACTGCACATAAAAAAAATGACTGTGAACCCTAACCAACCACAGGGACTACAGACTCCTGCAGAAGTGGCAGCAGCTGAGGTCAAAGGTAGAGGTAAGGGTCAACCAGCGGGCAGCACTTATGCCAAACTATGTAACTACTTCAGGAATATGGTTCCTTTCTGACTAACCATATCTGCCTTTAGCCCATAGCCTGTGGCCACACTAGCAGAGCCACTCTTACTGGATCCACACGTATTCTCATCCACCCTCAGTTCTCCTGATTCTTCCTCTTACAAGTCCTCACTTCCGTCCCTTCCCTGTGGACCCTGCACTCGGAGGGCCTGACTGAGCTGCTTGACGACTTCCTGGCCCGCCTTGCACACTGGCTTCATGCCCAGCAGAGTGGTGACAATGCAAGGTGTTGTGGGTATTCAGTCTCTTCTGATGCAGCTTAACATTAGGCTAATGTGCAGCACACCGCCATTACCCCAGAATGTCTGGCTGCTTCCATGTAATGCTAAGGTCCTTGATGACAGACTATAAATATTCCACTGCTTATTAATTAGTGCACTTGGCACACTAGTTTTCTTTGAGATTACAAAGACAGCGGGGAGTCCTTGGGCAGCGCTGTCTGCATCACTGACTTCAAGGCAGATACAAGCAGCTGAGGTGTTTATATGAAACACACATCATAAAGCACAGGTCTGAGTCCTATAGAGAACGGTCTCCATGACCCAGGACCTCTGCATCCTGAGGAGTGGATGCACTTAACAGAAGGTCTCTCTGGGAGCAAGGCTAGCACCACACAGAACCCAGGTACGAAATATTTTTAACTTGAAAAGAAATAAGAGGCATGTAAGTAATAACTATTCTATACTTCACTGTTTGTAAGATCTTCATGAAGGGCTGGAGAGACTTTTAAAAATTATATAGTATATTCTATATGCAGCTTAACTTACAGAAATGAATCCACCAATAAGCAGCAAGTCTGATGATTATAACTAACTCCACAGGGACTTAAAATTTTGTGAGAGGACACAGTTTCAAAAAGTAAAAGAAAATGAATAGACTACTTGGTAGGAAGAGAAGAAGCAAAATAGGGTATTTTAAAAATAATAAAAACTTGCTTTTTAAATGTAACAGAAACATTAAAGGGTATATAATTTGGAAACAAAAACTATTGTGAATCAACCACTCAGGTTATAACGGACATCTTTATCAATGGATATCTCAGTCAAAACTATAAATACCAAATGAACTTATGTTTCCAACGAATATGAAAATAATTCAAACAAGTATGTGTAAATTCTGACCACTTAAAATAGAAGAAAGTAGCAAAATCTTCCACAAGGTTGTTACTTCTTTAACAAGTATACACAAATTTCCAAGACTGACAAAGGATACTGACATTTGGAAGACATGTTTGTGAGCTCTTCGATCTCAAACCTAAAAAGGATTGGCCAATCAGGGGGCTTTATTTATCATCCTGGGCTAGGTCAACAAAGTGCTGCCAGCTGGGTAATGTGACCTCAAGCCCAAGAATAAGGCAGGAGTGAGTTTTGTGGCTTTCCTTTCAGATTCGTGGAAAAGACCAAAAGTGATCCCTCACCTGGCTCAGAGCAGAGAAGGAAAGCCGAGAGGCCTGTATTATCATTCACTCTGTTGAGAGCTCAATCTTCTGCCATCAGTGTCCTCTAATGGACACAAATAACTACAAGACCAAAGGTATTCTAAAATGCAATGCCAGCAATTAAGATACAGATACTCAAATCAAACATCAGATACACAGGACATAATGCAGATGAAGTGTGCCCCTCCTCAACATCATTTCTTAGCTAATTCTTACCTGGCCATCTGAGCACCCACTGCTTAAACAAGCACGAGCCATGGGTCGGTATACCCCTCATTTGCCTTTAACAGGTGTGGCCTGAACAAAGCTCCTCAGTTACTTTATGAAGAAAACAACCAGACTTGAACTCAAGAAGTCTGGCCTAAGCACATCATTTTAAGCTCTACTGACTTTTCTCAGATTTGGCACACAGGTAGTACAAAAAGGAAAGAAAAGAGCTCGGATTTTGTTTCATAGCAGTTCCGTTTGTTATAGAAAACCTCTAAGGAAATGACTGTTGAAATGTAGAGCAAATGTGAGTGAAGGCAAAACCTATCACCAACTCTATTACAGGTCTAGCACTGGCTGCAGGCCTGTTTCCCCAGCTCACACAGATAAGTTCTGGCCATCTTGCATAATCTATTAAAAAAACTTTTTTATAAGGCCCCACTACCTAATACTTGTCACATTTTGTGTATTCCTATTTCGAACTAATTATTAAGAATGTATGAATAAATAACTAAATCTTCTATCAAAGCCCACCTCTCAACAACATGCCCTAGGAAGACCAACATGGTATTTTCCCTTTCAAATGCAGAGGCATTGTTTCAAATCCTTGAGCAGTTTTATGTCATCACCAGGCCACATATCACTGCCAAGGGTGTCACACCAGCAGCATGTCCTGACTCACTGTTCAGTTCTGTATGGGGGAAGGCAGTACACACCCACATTTCCTTGTCCAAAAAAGCTCTGAAATTCCAAATACTTTGTAAAAACTTCCTTCCAAATTCTGTGTCAATAAAACTTGACCTGAAGGTATTTACAGTTTCCCCTGGTTCCTTCAGTGTGAGGCTGTACAGTTGGCTTTGGAAATAGCCATGCATTTCACTGGCATGGGGCAGGGGCTTCCAGACTCCACTAGGAATGTTCTGTGCCACACTCTGTCCCTCTTCTAAACTTCAAACGCTTCTGATTTCCAAATCACATCTGTTCACAGCAGTTACAAATATGAGAAAGTATACTTTCATTATTGTCCCTTTTAAGCCAGAAAATGAGGCTCAGAGAAGTTAAGGTGCACCAAAATAGCTCTGAATGCAGGTCTTCCCCGTCGCTCTTAGTCCCCACACTGCACGGCAGCCTATGAATTCCACGTGAATGCCTTTACAGCACTTCTAAGGCTACAGTCCTGAAGTCTAGGTTAAGAAATCCAACATAAAACCACCAAGAACACACGCAGTGAATATTTGGGGAAATACACAGACATTTGTCAATTTCATCCATTTTAAAGAGACAACATAATGAACAAATAAGTCTTCTCTATTATAGTAATGCCAGTCCTTTCTAAATCACATTTTATGTACATAAAAATGAAAACAATAAGCTCATTCTATATTCAGTTTCAGAAGTATATGAAGCAAATGAAAAGCAAAGGTAATTCTAAAATACTCTGAATTTGTTCTTTTTCATACAAAATCAGTTTTTCAGTTACAAAATATTAATGTCATCCCACCCTATATCCTATATAAATGTACAATACTAAGTAAGCCCTATTTCATTTTACTTATATCCTTGTTCTATCACCACTGCTTTGAAATCACCTAGAAATAGAAGTAGTGCATTCCGACTTTCTTCACTATTGAATCAACGGTGG